CCTTTGTTCTCGTTCCTCTTTTTTTTTTCTTTCTTGGTCTGCTGGCTTGTTCGGCTGGCCTTATCCCTTTTTTTTTTCTTCTCTTCATTTGTTGTACTGGGCGCCGCCCTCTTAATCTCTCTCCCTTTCTCTTTTTTTTTTTCTTTCTTCTTGGCGCTGCCTCCCTTTCTCTTTTTTTTTTTCTTCTTTCTTTTTTTCTTAGCTGTCCTGGGCACCGCCCCTTCTTCTTTCTCTTTTCTTTTTTCTTCCTGTCTTGGTTGTCCTGGCGCTGCCTCCCTTCTTCTTCCTCTTTTTTATTTTTATTTTTTTTTCTATCTTGGCTATCTTGGGCGTCGCCTTTTTGGGCGCTGGCCTCTTAGTTTTTTTTTTTTCCCTGTCTTCTTGGTCTGCCTGATCGTCGACCTGCTGTCTCTTCTTCTCTTTATTTTTTTATTTTTTATTGTTTTCTTTCTCTCTTAGCCTGGGCGCTACCCCCTTACTTTTTTTTTTCTTGGTTTGGCCTGGGCACCGCCTCTTGCACTCTTCCCCCTTCTTTTTTTTCTTCTTTGGCCTCTTCTTGGGCGCCGCCCTTTCTTTCTCCTCTCTTTTTTTTTTTTTTGGCTTCCTTGGGCGTTAACTGCTCCCTTTCTCTCTTTTTTGTTTCTTTTGTTTCTTCCTTGGGCGTGGGCCTCCCAAGGCGACGCCTCCTATTTTTTTTTGTGTGCATCCTTTGAGCGAGAGTGGAGGCTACTGTGGGCGCCACTGGAGGCTGGTATAGTGCTTTGAGTGACGTTAGGAGGCTGAATAGCGCCTTGAACAATGCTAAGAGGCTAGGCAGGCGCTCTGGGCGAGGCCAGGAGGTTAGGTAGGCACCTTGGGCGACACCAGGAGGCTGGGCAGGCGCCTTGGGCACTGCTATGTTTGGGCAACGCCTTGAGTCTCGCTACAGGCGGCGCCTCTCTGGTGCTTGATCACTGACTAACTTTGTCTCTAATTATAAGCGCCCTGTTGATTTGGGACTCTCTTTGCTTTGATGGTGGTGTTTTTTCCTCCTCTGAGAGGGCGAGGTTTGATGCCCTAGTGTTTCTCGGTCCAGGTCCAAAGGCTAAGTTATTTTCGGTAGTGCCCCCATTCTTTCCCAGAGTGTGACTCCTATGTACAAAAGAGCAAGCACTTATACCACTATAGGAACTGAGACTCCAGTGCGGTCTTCTACAGGGAGTGTAGCTTCAAAATTGTGCCTGGTAAAAACAATGTTATTCCAACATTAAAATATCTTAACATGATTACCTGGAGAAAGGCAAATTGTTTGCATTAGAGCAAAGTCGGAGTTGTGGTCGTCCCGTGAGAGGGCTGCATGAAATGAGGCCGAGCTACGCATAACTAGGAAGATGGCTGCCGTAGCAGAGGTTTACAAGGTGACTACTTGCGCGAAAGCAGAGTCATGAGCTACGTATAACTCGAGAGATGACTGTCATAGCAGAGGCTAGATAAGGTCAAGCTTCTTTGCGACTCGCGAGAGAGTGCAAAACTGGAGATATAGGCTGCTGAAGAGCAATTGGTGCTTGAGCGACAGGCACGAGAGGATGCCGCTGAGAAATTGAGGCTACGCATGAGAGGGTTGCCCAACTTTGAGGCTAACCTTCAAATAGCACTTGAGAGAGCTACTAGGACAGAGGCTCACTCTATGGAGATGGAGAAGATGAGAGATGCTACTGAGGGGTTGGGCGCCTAGTGCTGGGCAAGGACGCTGAGGGCGCTGGGCGCCTAAGGTGGCGAGACGCATCATTTAGGTGGCATCAAGGGATGCGCCCAAGGTGAAGAGGGCGAGACCCCTTGTCTGGGTAGCATCATGGGGGGCGTCCAATGGTGGAGATGGCTAGACCCCTCACCTAGGCGGCATCAAGAGATGCCCAATATGGAGAGGGCGAGACCCCTTGTCTGGGCTCCTGCAGAGAGGTCCTTCTTAGGTGACGTGTAAAAGGTGAGCGAGTTATCGTCGGTGATAGCCTGGGTGATGCCAACCTAGGTGCTGGCCTGGGCAGCACCTACCTAGGTGTTTGCTTCTAGGAGCCTACTGTTGGGCGCCTAATGAGAGAGCTATTGTTGATTTCTCTAGCTTCGTCCCCTAGGAGGCACCACCAATAGTTAGTGACGGGGAGAGCCTTGATTATAATGGTTGTGGCTCAAGAAGCAGTGACTAATCGTCGGGAGTATGACGACTGACGACTGTTGTCCTTTTGTCTACATCTTATTTTTAGATCATGTTATGTAAGCTATTTGTCAATTTTTAGGAGAACAAGACAATTCTGGATACAATGATCTTCGCAGAATTTCATTTCATAAAATAATAAATAACAAAAATAAATAACTGAAACAATAAAGGATAGATAAAATATTCTGGGGTTTGGCATCCATAGGTAGGCCGAGGCTTTCTTAGCGGAGTTTGAGTCAACTACTCCTCCTGGCCCTAAGGAGATCGTCTGGATTTTTTCGAGGGGTTGCTGGTGTTCTCTATCATCCTGGTCCTGACCAGGTGGCGGGGCTTGTCCTCTGCCAACAACGTACTATCTCAAATGGCCACGTTGTATGAGTTTTTTGATCTACCTTTTAAGATCAAAACAGTCGTCCGTATCATAGCCGTGGTCGTAGTGGAAACGACAGTACCTGTTGGGATTTCTGCGGTTTGGGGCGGACTTCATTTTTTCGGGCCAACGGAGCATGGGATCATCCTGTATTTGGAACAGGATATGCTCCGCGGAAGCATTGAGTAGCGTGAATGTCTGTTGTTCTCTCAGAGGTGGGGGAGCAAGGCGGTCCTTGGCGGAGATTTTTTCTGTCCTATTCCTTTTATTCTCTACTTTTGTTTTGTCTTCGCAGGTATCCTTCCTCTTTTCGCCCCCATGGGAAGACTCACCTCATTTGGCCTTGGTGACATCCTCCGCGTTCATATACTTTTGTGCCCTTGACAGCAGCTCGGGCATGTTGGAAGGCGACTTCTTGAGGATTGAGAACATGAAGCTGAAGGTGCGAAGGCTAGCAATAAAGGCGGCCAGAGCTACCTTATCATCTGGCTCCTCAACCTAGATGATCTTCTCATTAAAGAGGGCAAGGTAGTCTCTAAGGCTTTCATCCATGTCCTGTTTGATAGTTAGCAGGTGGGTCACTGGTTTCTGATGTCGGAGTCCCCCAATGAAATGGGAGATAAAGGACCTGCTGAGCTCGGCGAATGAGCACATGGAGGAATGCATGAGCTTGGAGAACCAATAGCGAGCAGACCCCTTCATGGTGGTAGGAAAGACTCTACACATTATCTCCCCAAACACATTGTGGAGTTGCATAAGGGATTTGTAGGTATCCAGGTGGTTTAGGGGGCCATTGGTGTCATCGAAGATCTCAATGGTGGGCATCTTGAACTTCGAGGGTAGGGGGTAGTTAACGATATCAGTAATGAAAGGGGTATCGATGCGCCTTACCAAGTAGTCCACGGTTTCAGGCACCTGGGCCTTGATTGCGTTGAGGGCATCGCCTAGTTGGTTTTGCACCTCTCTAATCTTCTCGTCCCATTGGTTGGGAACGTCCTCTGTTGGGTGGTGGTTCTAGCTTCCATGGTCCCTATATTGGCTCTCTCCTTCTTTGTCCTCCTGCGCAGGTACGTGTGGAAGGAGAACATGTGAGCTCCCTACACGTTGAGGAGGGACTACTGGGCGAGGGGTACTCTGGTGTGGCCTTGGGGCATTCTAGTGAGGTCCCCTATGGTGAGGGGCTGTCTGACGCCCAATAGGGAAGGGATGCTGCTCCTCTCCTGTTGGAGGGAGTGGGGCTCCTCCTATAGGCTGAGGGGCAACTCTTCCTTAGGTGAGCATTAACTGGATGATCTGTTAGTTCTGTTTTACCATCAATTGCATAGTCTGTAGAAGCTGTTGTCCAATGACGGGGGTCATCGTAGCAGAAGGTTCCGATGATGCGAGGGGAGGCAGAGCCTCCTCCTGGGGGGTCGGGTTGTTGTCTCCCAGCTGTTGGCTCATTGATTTGGTGGTGATTTTCATGGATCAAAAGAGTAGGAAAACTAGTCGTTTCCCACAAACGGCACCAAACTGATGATGCACAAAATTGTCTTCACACAAGATCAACAGTCAAGTGTACGAACGGGTGCAATTAGTGAGCAATAACAGGCAATGTCAATTAATGATTAAAGCAGTAAATAAGGAGAAAACACAGAGGTTTATAGTGGTTTGGTCCGGATGACCTACTCCACTCTTGAAAACGGCGACGGTTGTCCGGGGTGTTTTATTAATAAACAGTGTCACCGGCAGAATAACTCCAATGTATTACAGTGCTTTTGGAGAGAGAGGGAGAGAGAGCAGTGTATGTAGAAAGGTGTAGTGTGTGTAGGGATCTCAAAACTATGAGAGCATGCCCTCTATATGGAGAGGGCTTACATTATATAGGTGTGATTAGGTGGTGAGGCAGTGACGTGAGGAGGAAGACTTCTACTGTTTTAGTAAGTACAGCTATGGTAGGAGATCTCCGTGCTTATCCCGATGTTTTCTCTCTCATGCTCCTATTTCTTCATAGGAGGGTCTTGAACTGGACTGTCTCGTACTTGACTTTGGGTTTGGACCCGTAGTGATCTTGGACTTGCATTGGAGTGGCAAAGTGAGGAGCAATGAGTAGGACTTGGACATTTGAGGGGCCCATGGGCGACGCCCCAAGTGCTTGGGCGTTGGCTCTTGGTGCTTTGGGTATTGGCCTCTAGACGTTGGCCTCTTGTACATCTTGGACGTCTGCCTCTTTGATGTCCACCTCTTGGACGTCCGCCTCCTGAGCGTCCGTCTCTTGGGCATTGGCCTCTTGATGTCCTTTTGGTTTCCTCTTGATGGGTCGACCCAGATTCAGTTGGGCTTTCTTGGTTTATTTAAATTGAACTTGACCCAGTTAATTTCGGGTTCATCATTTATTATGTAGACTTTAGGTGCCCTCAGCGTATTGCCTGGAGGGGAAACTATGGGGCTTTCCTTATGGATAAACTTCCACTTGTTAAGTCTTTGGTTGAAAATTTGGCTGACAACCTTGATGTTCCTGTGTCATGGAAAATCCGAGTATTTGCAAGATACAATAAATTATGCCCAAATGTTGGAAGATGCTGGTTGTTGTCTTTTGGCAGTGCATGGCCGAACAAAGAGATGAAAAAGATGGGAAGAAATTCCGGGCCAACTAGAATATCATCAAGGCTGTTAAAAATGCTGTCAGAATCCCGATCCTCGCTAACGGAAATATTCAGCACAGGGTTGGAACAGACTAGTGCTGATGGAATACTTTCAGCAGAATCTCTTCTTGAGAATCCAGCTCTCTTTGCTGGATTTCGGACTGCTGAATGGGGTGGGATTGAATAGTCAAGAAAACACAGAAGACGGGAAACTAGACCAGGCTGACTTATTGGTGGAGCATTTGAACCTTTGTGAGAAATATCCTGTGCCATGGAGAATTATCCGAGGTCATGTGCACAAGTTGTTGGGAGAGTGGTTTAGGATAAATCCACATGTAAGAGACAATCTCAATGCACAATCTAAACTTACGTTTGAATTTCTCTATGATATGGTTGGTGAACTTGGGGAGCTTGGTGTGAGGATACCCCCTCTGAATGTGAAGGGCTCCCATGTGGAGAGAGTATCTGCAAATGGAATTGCGGCTTAATTTTCGTGTTCAGTGTGCAACCGGATAAGTTGCTAGAGCCTGCAGTCTATGCTGTGTGGCGAACTAGGAACCTGTGATCTTACCCCAGAAAAAATGGTGGTTCAAGTGCACTCGCACGATTGTGGCTTGTAATTTTTTCAGTAAGAGACGAATTTAGTTGGCAGATCTTGATACCTAACTAATTAAACGAAGACGTTAAGAGGTGTATGGGTAACAGGCAATCCATTGTTCTTGACACTAATCATGTGAGAATGTTTTAGAAGCTCTTGGCACCCTTGTAGCGAGATAGTTAACACACTAACAAGTCCTAGAGCAGGAAAGTTGTATTTACTTGAGTACTGTATTTTTAATTTTTTTTTCTCACTCTAGTCCTATATATTTGAGTTCATGAAACCATATTTCATGTGTGTTTTGATCTCGTGTGGCAATGTTTTGGCAGCTAAGTGATTGTTTTCATACTCACTTTTTTTGTGAAATTGACTGATTGGGTTACTTAATTTTCGTCTTCCATTCTCTATACAACGGAAGGCATTAGAGGTGGTGGTCATAGTTACTGTACGTAATAACACTATTCTATATTGTGAAGGGAACGAGGTAACTGAAGCTTTTAATCATTTTGACTGAGATCTCAGTGAGGACTGAATCCTCTTCTGACGGAGTCAGACTCTGGCTCTTTTGGAGAGAATTTTGTGATATGAATCAATACAGGCTCCTAGGCTAAAATTCTTGAAAGATGTAGGATCACTTCCCTCGCTAGAGTGAGTAGGGAAGTTTGTGTGTGTTCTTAAATTGACGTTGTATTAGATACAAACGGTTCGTTAGGTTGTCGTATTAAAAATTAATAAATTAATAAAATAAAATAATATAATATAATACAGATGAATAAAAATTAAGATTAAATATGATAAAATAATACGTAATTTTATTTAGTGTTTGACAATATATAATATAAATATTAAATAGTAGTTATTTAATCAAATCGGTTGTTTGGTTAGACAATTATTTTATCGTATTAATGTTAAATTAACAAAAATATCATCAATCAGTGTTTATTACATTGATGACAGCTTGATTTTGTCGATTAGAGAGTTATAGCAATAAATGTGTAGAATAGTACCTTTGAGTTGTATTATAATACTACATCTCTTGGTGGTATTAAAAGACATCCATAATACAGGTGTATCGTATAAAAAATATACAATAAATATATGATTAATACATATTTTTAAAATTAATACGGTATCAAATTTACTTATCAAATAAAATATTATGTCCAATTAAATAAAAAATAGTATAATTTAATATTTAATCCTTCATAATATGTCTACTAAACCAGTTCAAAGTGTTTTGTAAGAGTAATGCTAGGTTGACCAAATTTAGAGTCCAAGTGACATGTCAGTTGATTATTTAAAGTTTTTATTGGGGCTCAAATGACATAACACTAATCAAAAAAGCCTAAATCAACTGTCATATTATTTGGGCTCTAAATTTGATCCCAAAATTTGATGGTATTACTGGTTTTGTAAACAACTCCCCTGCGGAGGCTTTACCCATATAGAAATCATGGATGCCTTTGGCAGTACAAGTCGCTTGGAGTATCTCATTTCCGAGGCTTTTCATATGATAGCAACAATCTTGAATCTCATGTTGGCTGAATTGGTGTATCAATTTTCATTTTGCAAGAGTGTGTCTTCACACAATAAAAAAAAAATTGAATCAATAACTGAACTGCATGATCATTAACAGTGAAAAGTAATAGGGTGGGAAAGGGTCAAAAATGGAAGTATCTGGTCATAAAAAAGTCTAGAGCATGGTTGCCATATACTATGAGTGTGTTTGGCATGACTAAAAAAAGTGTTTTTAAAACTTTTAACTTGTGAAAAATATTTTTTTTTTAAAAGTAATGTTTGACTTAACATATTAAAAACACTTTTTGATAAGTAAAAGCAATTTAAGCACTCAAATAAGTTGATAAAAAAAAAGTAAAAATAATTAACTTTTACTTTTAAAAATCACTTCTCATTTTCTCCGCTCTCCCCCGATCACCTCCACGGCCATCACCAATCCGCCAATAAAGGGAAAGCTTCTGAAGCCAACCTTGACGTCAATGACGACGAAGAATACGAAGAAATTGAAGAGGAAGTGGAGGTAGAAGTAGAAGAAGAGCTCGAATAATCCGGAAGTAATTCATTGCTTCCATAATTCATAATTCGAATAGTTGGTCTTGCACTATCGATGAATAAGAGAAAACCAAAGTGGCTGAGCAATTTACTGCACAACAAGTTCTTTGATACTTGTTCTCATCACATTGATCTTCCAAAGAATGAAAATAAAATATTTTGTATTGATTGCAATCTTTGTTGTTGTAAGCACTGCATCTCTTCTGTGACTCATTGCCTTCACCGATATCTTTGAAATCTCGAAGTGCACATATCAAGATGTTGTTTGGCTTGACGATATGCAGAAACGTCTTGATTGCTCCAAAATTCAAGTCAATACATATCTATTTTCTCTCTTTTGCATGTTCAACTATACAAGATTGTTTAATTGTCAATTTGATCTGAATTCCATGTGTTGATCATGAATAATTTGTTACTCTAAACTTATCAGTAAAATTCCTTTATTAATAATAGCTGTTAGACTATAGCCATTTGTTAATTTTACTTCCATAATTCATTGCTCTTTCTTACATTTAATTTTTAGCAAAACTGGACAGTTTGATAAAATACCTACCAACTGTTTGATAAAATGACTTACATGTGCTATGGATTTTTTCTTATACTTGGTGCTGTTAGTTTTCCTGTGTTGGAAAGCAGCGGAGAATAGTCTGGAAGTACTGGGGTATGGTCAGTGTGTGTGACTCTCACTATTCACCTTCGTGCTTGGCTATGAAAAGTAGCAACAGAATACCCTGCCCAATACCCTGTAACTCTCTCTCTGTCCATTGTTAAAGTATCTGTTCATCGATCTTGATACGATTTGGTCGAGTGCTATCCATATTTTTTAATTCGATACTATTATATGTTTCGTGTAAACATGAGACTCATGCAAGTAGGCCAATTTATATAAATGTTTCTGAATAAACTAGACGTTATCGGTCAATTCTTACATCAAGCACCCAGTATGACATTCCTTTTGTTTTTTTTTTTTTTTTTGTGTACGTTCTCCATATTGGAAAAAGAGACTATAATTTATTCATAGATAAAGTTTTCTTTGTTACTGCAATGACTTGGTTGAAACTTGAGATATCCTCTTTTCTGTTTGCCCCCTGCAAATTGAAAGAATTTGTCCTTGAAGAACCCTAACAAACTATGATGGGCTGCTCATATGTTGAATGATCCCATTGTTATTTTTTCCTGCCCTTATGATTGTGAAAATGATAGAATTGTTTGATATATAATGTAAGTGATCCTTATCCTTAGTCCTGATCGAATTCATATAGTTATGCATACAGATGGCCTTCATAGTTTCACCTTCAATCAGGTTGGCCTTCATATGGCTGTATTGCATGATTCAAGGCAGTTGTCTGTTCTTCGATTGACGAAGGTGCTGGTTTCTGATGATAAAGAGTAAGGTTGCCTTTTCTGCAAAATAGGGGAGCAGGTTGATTATGAGAGACTTATTTTTTGATTCTTTTGTAAAGTCTCTTAGCTTCTTTTATTCATTTTGGGTTGAAGTCTTGTTAAGGTAGGGTCTGTTTGCCTTTTGTTCCATTATAAATAATTTGTGAGTAATAAAATAAAGTGTTGATTTGTTTGAAAAAAAAAAATTGCATCAAATAGTAGAAGCTTAGACATGAGTGATGAAGAAATCCATAGTAGTGAACTCCAAACTTACACTTGGGTTCATCAGGAAAATTGTATCGCTTAGATGGGGGAGTGTAAGAGATAAGTAATGCCGTCATAAAAATATTTGTGATGAGAATTTGTCATCTCAATACTTTTTGAGCCGTTACTTATTATGACACAATGAATGTTGTCTCAAAGGTGTCAAAAAAAAACCTTCTTTGTAGTGACAATCAATTAGAGTGCTAGTTTGAGTGTGAATTGTTTGATCATGTCTTCAAATCATTTGGTATCCCATTGTTACCTTTTCATTTTTGTGAATTTATGTAAATATTTAATAAATTACCACTAAAAATGTATCATGGGATAACCATTAACATTTTTAACAAAATACATGCAAACACACACATATAAATATTTGATTATGAAGGGTATATTTGTAATTGTGATACAAATAAATACTTTTTTAATTGACCATCCAAACACAATTTTTCTAAAATCATTTTATTTAAGTACTTTTTTTAATGAGCATCCAAACGGTGCTTATGGAAAAAAGTATTTTTTAATAAAGTATTTTTTAAAAAATAATTATTCAAGAAGTACTTTTGAATTCAATAAATCATCCCAAACACACTTTATATCAAAGGCAAAATGGGATCCTTGACCACTATTAAAATGTGCAAACCATCAATTAAAACAAACAGTACAAGTTCCTAGCAAGCAAATAGAACATATTTTGTTTTGATTGGTCAAAATAAGTGTATGACAGGACCAAAGAAGGTCTAATCAACTACACATGCAACAAAATGGCAGCGGTTTTCTCTGAAAACATGTTGATGTATGAGACAGTTTGGTCATGTAAAGCTACTTCTCCAGAGAACAGAGCATTTTTAGCTACATATGTTATGTAGTAACCATAAAGGTCATACTTCCTTATGCAACACCTGGGACATCAACTTAAAAGCTACCAAATAATAAATTTTGGGACAAAACTTTTGAAACATCAATTCAAGCACTAGATGAAACCAATATTATTACTTCATAGTTAGGGTTAGGGTCCAACATGAATGTACAATCCATCAGAATGTGACTACCTTGAGGTCCCAAGTTTAACCCCCGCAATAGAGCCCTGCTTTTTTGATACACTTGGTTTCCGGATGCACAAATCACACGTCCAAAGAGCGCATGCCTTGGACAATTCTCCATCATAAAAAA